TTCCCCGGGGTGGGATGGCTTCATAGATTCATTTTATTTCTAGCCAGACACGAGTGGAGATGCAGCCACAGATGGGAAGGCTGAGAGACGTATTCTTGGATGCGGGAGGAATTCAAGGGCAGGGTGATGAGAAGAGCCAACCTTGTCCCAGTCCTTGCTGGGTCGGCTGCTCCTCTCCTCCTGACAGCTTTTGGGCAATGGAGCACGCAGATGCAGCCAAACCCATCCTTCAGTGTTGTCTCATCAGCACTGAAAGGCAACCTTGTCCACACAAACGCATCCCTTTGGGATTTAATTACTAGGTATTCAGGCATGGCTTTTCATCTTTCAGCTAATCAAAACACAAACCCTTGCGCATAGATGAGATCCTTCTGCATGGGCAGGTGGGGGATGCTCCCCACCAGCCCCAGCATCAGCCTTGGACCACTCGGACCCAACCCGTGCCACCGGCATCTGTGAGACCGAGCTGCTCCAGGACAAATACCTTGGTACTTCAATCTGACTCAGGAGCTTTACGCTAGCTGAACACTTCATCCGTCTCACAGGAGACAAGCCTCTGCTATAAACAGAAAATAATCTTCACTAGTGGCAATAAAGGCGGGCTGTGTGCTCCACGTGTGCAAACTCCTCATCCACAGCCAGCTCCATGCCCTCACCTCCTTCCTCTGGTTTCGGGGAGAGGGCCTGTCCTTTGTTAAGACCTCCAGCTCCTTGAATCCTCACTGCAAGAAGCTTTTATTTAAAATAAAAAACAAACCACAACCAAAACCAAAGCTCTTTTTTCCTCTTGGAAGCGAAATCAGCCTGGCCAACTGATTCACCGCCTGTGCCAGCCCAGAAAGCAGTGACACCGCTGCGCGAGTACCCAGAGAGCAGCCCCAAACAGTGTCCTTCAGCCTCCCCGCCTCTCCATGCAGACACTTGCTGTGTTTACTGCAAGGTCCAGGGGCCAAAACTCAAGCAGGAGGAATTCAGGCGGAAATCCCCTCTTGTATCAGCGTGTTTCGGCTGAGATCCCATCGTATCAGCAGGCTGCTGGTGGGGGTACCAGCGGGGCGGTGGCAGTGAGGAAGAGCAAAGCTTGGTCCTCCCTGCCCTACCTGATGGGCAGGGATGCTCCTGCCCCTGCTGCCCCCCACCCCCGTGGGTGCAGCCCCAAACACACCTATTGCCTCCAGGCTGAGTTACGGCCCGCTTTGCTTCCTCCCTCGCTCTGCCCTTGGCAGTTATCTCAGCCACATTTATTTATTAGTTGTAGTTTATTTTTCCTGCCGGGGACGGGGTTTCCAGCTGAAGCCTAGGAGGGGATGGTCAGGTCCAGCCCTCAGTGAGGTTTCTGCTGGGGTTGAGGGAGTTCAAGGTCAACCGGGGAATGAAGTCAGCAATGACTGAAATCGTCAAGTTTGCATCTCGTGATCTTCAAGCAAAGGAGGACATGTGATAAATGGTAGGAAACCTCCTCCAAGCAGCCATGCTCAAGAGGTACTGGATGTTTTTGCAAGCAAACCCTCACTCAGACGGCTGTTTCCACCAGATCTCAGCGCATCCAAAACCAAAAGGAAAAACGCCAAACCAGAATCAAGTGGTTCTGGCTTTGAGAGACCACACAGAGCCCGCTTGCAAGGGGAGGTGAGGATGGCAGGGGGAATGGCAAATGCCTCCACATGGGCTGAATCACCCCAGTGGGCACGGGGAACATGCGTGAGCATAAGAAAGGAGGAATGGGAACCAGGCGGAGGCAAGAGCTTGGCAGCATCTTCTCAGGGAGGGAGTACATGGATTGCAGCCCTGGGGGGCACTGCCTGGCTGCAGCCCCCCCGGAGCACACCTTGCTGCCCTGCCAGGAGGGAGGGCCGAAAGGATGAGTCTCGCCTGTGCAAACAGGACTGTGTTCCTGGAAAAATGCTTTACCAGGGACGTCCCTCCTAGGGCAGCCAGTCCCTCTGGCTCAGCCACCTCCTCTCTGTTTCACCCCACAGTAATGATGGGTTTTCCCCTCCCAAACAAGATCTTCTAAGCCAAACTAAACAATGTGTGATCTGCACCCCTGACAGACGTGTGTCTCTGCATCTGTAGCTACAAATAAGACCAAGGGAAGTGCTGGTGCCAATACAATCCCTTGCACGTGCTGTAAAGGGCTGGTTTGAAGACACAGTCTGCTTTTTGATACATCTTTCCTGCATGCTTGGAAAGCATCAGCTGGCCCTTGTCTGTTCCCCTCACCGAGGAAGCTGTGCCAGGCTCTGAATTCTCATTAAAGGCTTTTTTTTCTTTCTTTCTCTTTCCAGGCAACAGCAAAACTTTCAATCCTGCTGACGGTGGAGACCCCAGACTGTTAAATCCTCAGCACGTTGGTAAACAAATACAGGAAGAGCGAAAAAATCAGAAGGAGAAAGGGGGAGGGAATTTTCCAGGGCTTTGGCAGCATCCCATGAGTTTTAATTACTCCTCGTTATTTGTAGCACTAGACAAGTCCTTCCACGAATTTCCTAAAAATAATGCTCTAGCCGTAGGAAGTTTCTCTGCTGAGTCTTCGGGAAGGGAACGGGAGGGCAACTTGCAGAGGAAGATATTTACTCCCTCACTTCGGCAATGATCAAAATTACAGATTAACAGGAAAACCTGTGAGCTCAGGGAGCGACCCAGCTCAGTGCTTGCCCGGGGACGAGAGAGAGAGAAGAAGGCAAGGGAAAAAAAAAAAAGCCATAAGAAAAAAAGCCTTAAGCAAACAGATTACTCATCTCAGTGCACAGTCCTGCTCCAGGTAAATCAGAGCTGCTTTTATCTCCTTGTAAGCAGGAGAAATAAAGGGTGGACGGCACTTTCAGCCTTCAGCAAAACAGGTAGAAAGTCTCCGTGTCCCCAGCAAGACCTCCCAGCCCACTAGCCACCCACACATCCCCATCGCCCGCTGACATGAAGTCCGAGCTGAAGCTTGGGCAGGAGCTGGGATGTTTTTTCCCTCCCTAAGAGGCCCTTTCGCAGTCGTCCCTTGTCCCCGAGGCCACCCCACCAAGCAGCCCCCACCTGCCCTGGGCTCGGAGCACCTTCCTGCCTTCGCCCTGCCTCAGTTTCCCCGGGAGGCCAGGCAGCTGCCCGCACTCACCTTGCTGGCAGCAGGCAGGCTCCAGCACCAGAAGCAGCCCCAGGAGGAGGAGGAGGGAGCAGGCAGGCATGGCGGCAGGCAGGGGCGCGGAGGAGCAGCCGAGAGCGGCCCCTGCTCGCAGGGCGTTGGGCTCGGGCCCGCCGCCCTCCCGCAGGAACTAGCGCTTGGTCAATTATCAAACGAACTCAGCCACAAAACATTTGCATTGGCCCAGGAGGAAGAAACGACACCCAGATGGGTAAATCTCTCTCCCAGTATGGCTGCGGCACGTGGGGATCGTGCCTGAACCTGTTCCTTGGTGTCCCCCAAGTCCTCCTCCCCGCAGCAGGAGAGCCGGGGGGTCCAGCGATGCCCCAGCTCTGACACCCCTTCCCACCCCGGGTCCAGGGGATGCCGGGAGCTGCCTGGCACAGCCCTCTCTAGCTTCCCTGCTCTTTTCTTTTCAGCAAGTGTCATTAACAACCCAGCAAAACACATCTGCGGCTTAAAAACATCCATTTAATACACCAGACTCGATGCCGAGTGCTGCCTCCCACCTCCCACACCCTGTTTAATGGAGAGATTGTTAAACTGAGCAAACACAGCATTTATATTATTGAGCCTTCAGGGCTGTTCCCAAAATTTCTTCAACAGCAGAAGAGGTAGAAAGACGTGAAGACCCACAGCAGATAGCAAAGCTGGCAGGCCCTTCGCATCAGACGGGTGGGAACTGCGGCGGGGTGGGGGAGGCCGGCAGGCTCATAGGTCCCAAATGAAGCAGCTTCCCAGCCCACGCCGGGTCTGGATGGCTGACAAACCCACCCCGAAGAAAGAATAAAAGCTAATTGTCTTCATGGCTACGCAACTTCAGTTACTCCTGAAGGAAATTTTAAAATTGTGAGCACGTGGTTTTATCATCACCCTTCTCGTGGTGTGTCAGAGCATCCCCGCAAGCCCAGCCCCACATCTGAGCTCCCAGCCTTGGGATCTGGTGGTCCCCCTGCCAAAGGACCCCACCTGGGCTCCAGCTCCCCACACAGGCACACGCAAGGGACCCGTGATCAAGAACATGGGGCATCCTCAGGAATAGATAGCCACTGGTGCAGAATTGCCCCCCTTCATCCCTCCTCTTCCCCCTGGATCAAGAATAATGTTGTTCATCCCAAAAACAAGCTGGAGCTGGCTTGAGCTGTACAAGACTGAAAGCCTGTTCCCAGCTCACCTCCAAATTCTTTTCCACGGCCAAATCCCCAGCTGCAACATGGGACAATCCCATTCCCACCCTTGCTGGTTTTCACTTACGAACTCCATGGGACAGGGACTCACCTGCCACACCTGGCAAGGAAGTGGCACGACAAGGACCTGCCCACAATAAGGTCCTATAAAAATAATCTAATCCTGTTACAGGGAAGAAGGAATGGCTTGAGAAGAAGTAAAAATGAGAGTGAACTTTGGGTTCCCCATTGCTTTTTTCCACGTTATCTATCCAGGAAAGCATGCAGAGCTTGCGATCTTAGCTGCCTGCTTGTTGCTTGTCTCTTAGCAAAAGCCCAGCAACAAAACTAGTTCTTTACAGCAGAATGATTTATCAGCAGATCAGAAGTTCTAGAGAAGCCAGTCCTGCTGCTGCACTGGGAAAATTCAAGCTCTGAGACACCTCTCTGCTATCGCTATCCACCCCCAGTCGCGCCTGGGGCTGTGGCAGGTTGCTCACGAGGTTGCTTCTGATCCTCTTCCACATGTGCTGCAGATTGTCTTCTCACCCCAGGGCTCTGCCCAGCCCACCATCAGGGACACCGGGCCGATTTTTCAAGGATGGGGATGTCTCAAGGATCCACTCACATGCTACGCTGTGTTTGGGGGACTGGACATGACAGACCAGACCCGAAGATGAAGGCAGGCCTGCTGTGCCTTCCAGATAGGGGTCTTGCTGTCGGCTCCCTCCTGAGGAGCAAGTAACACTTTACCATCGCGCATACCCAGATTTATACGAAATTTAAAGAAATTTAATTATTTAATTGTTTAGGGCTTGCTGATGGGGCCAGGGAATCACTCATTTGCTTATCTCAAAGCTCCCCTTGCTTCAAAGCATCTTCTTCAGCCCACGGCAGCTATTAGGAAGGTATGTGCTCTTGTGGCTGAAAGCTCCAGTGGCACCTGCTTGGCTGCATATCCCTGGGTCCGGCCCGGGGGGGGGAGAAAAAGCAACTCCCTGTCACGGCAGCAGCCCTGTCTCAGGGGCAAAGTGCAAAATTCCAGCAAATCATTTGCCGTCTGGCTTGCCCTTTTGTATTGTGGTCATGGCTTGGGACCTGCAGAGATGAGAAGCTCTGCGTTTCTGCTGCGGCAGGCACACTGGAATTCTTGCTGTCTCTCACACTGAAGCCTTCAGCATCACTCAGCTGTGGTGAGTCAAAGGCCTACAGGCCCATTTTACCAGTGAGGGAAACTGAGGCACAGAAGGGAAAATCACCTTGCAGCGTTTAGTCAAACCCAAGCAGAGCCAGAGCCAGCTCAGTTCTCTCGCAGGGACCCGTGTGAGCAGTCGCCTGTACAACAGGTCTTGCACAAAGCAGGTCTTGGAATTTCAGGATTTACGCTCGTACCTTCCAAAAATTGGCATTTTTTTCCCCCCAAGAAATATGTCTTTTTTAGCCAAAATTAACATTTCCTGAAAGCAACATCCCTGAGCCTAAAAGGTGTTCCTGGGTGATAGGGCTCAGAGCACAGATGCCAGTTCCTCTTCAAAAAAGGTTGTGGGGCACTGTGTTTTTATGGAGGTTATTTTTCTTTCTCCTTCACTTCCTTCCTTCCTTCCTTCCTCCCTCCTTCCTTCCCTCCTTCATCCTCTCCATGTCCTCCCCCTCTCTTGGAAAGAGCCACAAAAATAAAGAAAATAAACGAGAGCAAGCCTGTACAGCCCTTAAAGAGGAGATTGTATTTTGTATATGTATTTGTATAAAAATTTTCCGTATTTGTATAAAAATGTAATGATGAATTTATTGTATTTCAATAGCTGCTCCAAAAAGAAAAGAATAACTTTTAACATTTTTCATCAAAACCAAGTATTCCTCGCTTTCCTCAGAATTCTCTCATTTCCCATTCACACTGGCTTTCAAATCCAGCCTGGGATGGATGCTGCCGCGGAGAACCATGAGCTACAGCTGCTATGAAAAAGGCATTCTCTTGATGCAGGATGCCAGTGTGGATAAATGGTAGCAGAAAAAGGCTTTTCATCCATCACAGCTCTGTGTCTTCACTTCCCCTCTTTAAAAATGCCTTTAAACAGCATTATATCTTCTTACTTATGTGCTGATGAAAACCCCGATGTCAATGGTGTGGCAATGGGGCATAGCCCGATGCCTTCACTATCCTCCCCCCACCAGCCTGGAGTTCAACACACACAGACAAAGCCAAGAATAAAACACCTTTTGCCATTTTATTTGACATTTTATTAAATCATTC